TCGAGAACCACTTGCCAAGGAGATCCTCGTTGTCTCCATACATGTCGGCAGTGTCCCAATGGAGTTCGCCGCAGTCGTATGCTTTGTCGAGAAGCGCAAACCGCTCTTCATCAGGTTTCGCCTTGCCGTAGAATACGGACAAGCCCATAAGACCGATTCCCATTGCAGTCACATGAGGACCATCTTTACCAAGCTGACGGGTAGGCAATCCAGGTAGCATCGTAGGTTGGAGATCAGCAAGCGAATTTTGGGTTCGAAGGGGGGGATCGGAAGAGCTGCTCATTGGGTTATATACGCCTCCGAGAAAAACGGGGAGCTCTATGACGTAGGATTACCGTGCCCGAGGTGGAGGTGTGGCAGTTTTTTTTCACGTGGAGGGAGTGTTTTCTGAGGTTTTCGAGAGGATGACAGATTCGTAATTAGGCTCTCGAGCGAAATCTGTTCCTAAATATAACTCTTCAGACGGAACCATTTGGAAACGGGAATACGATGGACATATATACCCGGTGAAGGTATTTGCTTTGTTCGTCGCATGTCCCTCTGAAACGGCCTTTCACGTGACTAGAGAGGCAGGAGGAGTGGCAGCATGCTGATGACCGTTGAGAGGTGGAGCATGTCAACCGGACTGCGAGTTGGGGATACCTTGTTACTTACCACTTACACGACCACTCCGGACATCTACGTGACTTCAATAATCCATCGCCAGATGTGAGTGAATCGGTGGGCCGCCTGAATGATCCAGCCTGGCTTTCCCAACATGCTGTGCGCGCATCCGATCGGCTTACGGTTAAGTAGACTCATCTATACAGACACGGTACGGTGCGGAGGCCATCCAAAATACCGTGTCAGCGGAAAACCACGATAGAGCAAGGCAATCGAGGAACAGCCTTCCCCGGGTAGGGTTGACTCCTGGGTGGGAGTCCCAAGCGCAAGTCATACAGCAGTATAGATTTGTAGGCTTCGCAACTGTGCATCATGGGACATTTGAGGCGAATGCATGTCATCCGAGACCAGATCGGCCCGCAGGATAACGGGTGCGAACACATATACCGGCAAGGTGCCACTCGGGCCCGATTTTGACATACAGTATCCCACTCACAGTCGAACCCGTTTGTCTGGAACCTTTCAGTGATACGATTGGCCTACATGACATTGCCACGATGTTTCTGAAAGCCTCGACATTCTGAAAAAGCTACATACGCCATTACAAACGGGTGCGAAGACAGAAAAAAAATGCTTGATTTGTTTTCGTGTCCCGATTTTTCGAATATTTCGCTTCGATGATATTCTGTGAAATCATCCAATGTTGAGTTCGTACTCGTTTCAACAACCGTATAGACGTAGTTTGTGAACATTGAACGCTTGGATAAGCCAGATGCAAACCAGTCAGGTATTTAGGTTAGCACTATATAATCGACAAAAACGAGTGCGAACGAGAGACCTCCGAAACTCAAGAAAGCTGATTTAATCTGCGGACCGAATGCAAAGTGGACCGTTCGAACTCGTTTTTCATCAAAGAAAATACCTGTCAGGTCTTGTCCATGCACAAAGCAGTTTAAGAAAAATGTAATGTAACCTCTGTGATGATAGTTCAGAGCATAACAAACGGGTGCGAACCTGCCGTCCGCATATCAGAGGTTGTCGGGGAGCGAAAACATGGGCTTTTTGCTTGAGATTCGTCTCGCGCTCAATTGCCGAATTTCGGCAAAGAGATGGATCGGAGTGGAGTAGTCACACTTGGCAGCCTATGTCTATGTCCTGATGCAACACTGTTGAACGCGGAACATTTGCGATACAACGGCAGATTTAGAGCTCAATACTCAATGCGATGCCAAAACTCCACTGTACGATGAAGAGTTCACGCTAGTCTCCTTATTGAAAGTGAGAAGCATGACCCCGATGCGGTCAACGCATTTAGCTTCACGCTTTTATACCGAGTCTGACGTTAATTGGTGAGACAGGGAAGGCAATGACGGATCAATGACCCGCTGACGGGTATCGTTCCAATTGAGTGGTTCCGATCGTGGACGAAGCGGAATGATACCTGTAGGAAGCGACCGCTCGGTACAGCCAATTGGTATGAAGGCGGCCTAATGATATGACACATTATATAGTAGCGGAGAAGTCTTCTGGCGTCATATCGTCCGAGCGATTGATTTTACAGTATTCATCACACGCCATCTCAAGCTTCGAGCCGAGAAGTCATTTAATACGCCTCCTGCAGCTTGAAAACTGCAGAGCGTTTTCAGCCGCGACTCATAGAATTATAGTGTTCACGGAGATCTCAATTACATGCGTCAGCGAACCAAGACAGCCGTCAGAGCTTCTGAGCACTCTAGAGCGAGCAGCATTCCGTCTCAAGGGTGTTTCTTTATGGGAGTCGCATATTCATTACGAAGTCAGCGTCCCTCGTGGTTGTAGTCTCGGGCATCACCCGATCACGCCTCAATACGCCAGAACAATGGTTGAAGTCGAAGCAGCAGAGGCTTATGGAGTTTATACATCGGTCACGGAACTAGACGTCCTAGGCCTTTCCCGCGTGACCTCCTCAATTGTTTCCTGACGCGCCACTGTATGGAGCACAGCGGCGATCAGACTCCCAGCATCTTTTATATGGTCCTGCCCACAGGGCAGAGATCAAGATACAGTATATGCTCAGTCAGTTTGAGTTCCTTATCTTTTCACGCCGAGGAGCGCCGAGAGAATAGTCAGACATGCATTTGGTATTGCCTCGCGTGGGTTTTGGTTTCTTTTGAGCTCCCTCCGGTCAAGGTACCTAGCTTGCCGACGACTTCTAACGAGGACTTTTATGGCTTGCGGATACCCAAACTTCACATAGACGCCGTCAGTAGATTGTTAACGACCGGGAACCGTCATCCAAATAGAAGCTCAGAAGGCGCAAAGGGGCATTACGAGAACAACACTCAGGGACCGAACACACAGGTATGCATTTATGTTCACTTTTGTGATTGAGTGGTGAAATGCGTAATTGGCGGCGGCGTCTGCCGAGTTCGAATTTCGGGGCAGTCTTTGTATACTGGGCTCGGTATGTTCGATCTCGTTTTACATGCATTCACACGCGCCAATCATCACCAAACGCGGTTTTTGATTCACCAGAGCCATGTATGAAGCACCTATTGGCATCACCGGGCTGCCCAAAAACGAGATCGAAACAAACAGTCATCCGTCACGCATCAAATTTTCGATTTCGGACTCATTTCGGACACGGTGCAGCGCCCAGATGTGAGCTATTCGGAAGTGTGAGCAATTTCCACTGGTGGTTGGAGCCGGTTTTATTAGTCTACAAGCTTCTTTAAACGGGTGCGAACTCGACCTCTATTCCATCCGATTTCTCTCCAATTTCAACCACGCCTAGGAGACGCGCTGCGGATCGGTTCGGCATGTGGCTTCATCTTTGGAGGTCATGCGATGAGCTATCATAGGTCGCGTGATCGCGGGAGCATACGTTCTCAGTCTTGCGCGAACTCGATACCATAAATATCGCTGCATCATTTGTTCGACCGATTGTTCCTAACAATGCCCCTAGCAGTATTGATCTCATCCCGCTGACAGGATAGGTGGGACTGCTTCAGTGGGGTCCCGATATCGAATTATATCGAAATATATCCATCTCAGCACAAGCCAAGCCAATGCATATGGATGCGACTCGGGGGACCCGGCCCGTGGCATCATGCGCGATGTTGGGCTAATCGTCGCAGTGCGGTGCATTCAGATGCGCGAAAAAGAAAATGTCACGTGTTCATACGTCACAGCGGTTTACAGTTCATCGGAAAACTCGCAATCCGAAAAGCTGAAAAGATAGTCCGAATAATACGTCGATCCCTACTATGATTGTATAGGTAAGTACGAGTTGTCGGAAGGTAGTTTGCACAGGTCTGAACACCATGTCAGACTCTATGCAAGGATCAGTACAAGTCTGTATACGTTGGTGCAACTCTAAGTGGCACATTGCGCTCTCTCGCAAATCCTTGCGATCGTTTGCAGTCCGATGTAGCCGAATAGATGAGGATTCGACCATGACCTCGAGACTGGGCAGGACATCGGGGTATGCCGGATCAACAGCGGCGAGATGTCGTGCCAATCGGTGTCCCATGCCAAGGCCCTCGAATGTTCCATTTCTCATGTTTGTGCCGCAGACGACAGCAACGACAAATGGGCATTTCGGTATCAAAGCTCCTCGGTCCCGCACTGTACCATCGTTGCTGGTAAGGATCTGACTGTCGACACACGGTGAGAACTTGCTTGTACTCGCCCTGCACTCTGATGTTCATTTTTCAAGCACGTCCTCGCTGCTGATCACACCAATTTGAGACCAGGCTAACTATCCATCGCTGTCCTCAGATCATTGCGGCGCGAATGTAGTGGCGGGACTGGGTTCACACGCACAGGTCGATATTCAATGGTAGGACTGATGTCACTCTCATTGAAGAGGCGGTTCGACGTTTGGAGCGACACAGACCGCTGATTCCGAGACTCCGATAGTCATCGACCTTGCGAGCCTTGGTGGACTTGTGTCTCAGCACTATTCAGTACATAGTTTGTGCCTTACTGTACCTAGGGTAAACGGGTGTGAATAAACACCTCGCCACCTACGTCCAGCCAGAGGGTCAAGTCAAATCGATGTTGGACGCCCGAGTGCGCTTATCCTTTCTGGGTGAGGAGCCACTCGAGTACATCTATACACGGACGTACAATGCAGGCAGGTAAGGTCTGCCTGCCCCAGATTCTGTCACGCGCTAAGTTTTGACGCATACGTAACGCCGACTCAACAAAAATGCAAAAATTGTGGTACCTGTATCAAGTCATATCAAGCCACGACCACGTATGTGTGCGCATTGATGTGTATTGACTTGCATCGATATGCAAGAACTGGCATTGATATGCATTGAGAATGAATGTGCAATGACTTGCATCGATTTGCACTGAATTGCACTGAATTGCACTACAATGCATTTACTTGCATTGAGATACATCAGATTACATCGACCTCGTTCATTTTGCCTCAAGCTGATTGAAAGTGACACTAGTTACATCCAGCGACATCAACTCGCATCGTGAGGCAGTGACCATAGGATAGAGGGAGTCCCAGCTCAACCTTCACGTGAATTCCCCCGGAGCTTGAACAAACACGAAGATAGCATGCATGAGGGTATCCCGAACAAATACTCCAGATCTCGGTAGGAGCCTCTTCTTCGGTCTAGACCCAGGCAGAGGAAATTCTTGCCAATACATGTCCAATACGTCCAGGGGCGTTGTGCACACGTTCCCGAAGGTGTAGTTAATTGCACGATAGCGACAAAGGTGGCAGCAGATAGAGAGGATCCCATCTGGGACCTGCGGAACCAATGACCGGCAAATGATGCATGAACACATACCGCCTCTCATGCAAAGTGATAGCCTTCAAAGCGTTTCTTACTTGCACTGTATACTATACAAACGAGACCGGACGAGAAGAAATCAGTAAACGAAACTTCGTGGACGGCGCCTAAAGGCTGGCACATCGAAATTAATCGGACAGCCTGTAGAAATGACCCCTATGACGACAGCACCTGGACTGCTACTGGTTCATCGATGCTCTTGTCTTCTTACTGCTGCATATGTAGCCCTAGCTGATGGTTGATGCAACTCGGCAGGACCTTTCGGTGGGATCTCGTTTCTCGGCGGACAAGATCTGAGCTAATCTGAGAGCCTTGAGTACCGCCTGATCAGCCTGGTCGGGAGTCGATCCGGCCGGCAGTCCTTCTGCTTCATGTCCAAAATGTCCATGTAATCAGGAGCCGTCATTTGCAAATGACTCTGAGGTTCCCCCTCCCCCCCCCCCCCCCTCCCCTCCCCGCCCGTAAGGATTATGATGGCAATTTAAAGCCATTTGAAGCTGAAAGGCTACTGCCCAGTGGGTGCAATTCATTAGCATTGAGTTACGTGCTCTCAAACAAGAGGCCGAATGCAGTGATTGTCAAAATGCAAATGGCGTCACAGCCGTATCGGCTAAATTATTAGTGGTGAATCATAAGCCGACTGCCGTAAATCCGTTTCAGATATCTAGCTGAACATCATCTGTGCAACTTGTAACGCAGACTCGGTTCTCAATACTGCTGCATTTTAGGGATTTCCGTCCAACGCTAACACTCCCAGTGCCTCGTCTTGAAGTCATCCGAGAATTCACGGTCAGTATCACATTGCGGTCCGGTAACCGCACGCACTCAGAGCTTCGCCGGCTGATAATGTGAACACTGAACCACACTACAGCGCGATCAGACTCGTTTGTTCTTCGGTATTGTTGCTTCCTCCACAATCCGGGCGTTCTGCGTATAACATAGTTGCCTACCTCATTCTTTCAGAGTTCTAAATATCAGCACAAACGAGTGCGAAATCCATTGGTAATTCACTATCACGCCGCGCCACAAATGCAGATCAACTGCAGGCTCCGTGTACAACGTTCGATCTCGTTTGGATCCCGGCAACTACTCAAGTACTTGTTGACAACTACTTTTTTCATCCTGTTTGACTTTTGTAATAACCTACAAAACAAGAAGTTGACTGGAGCAAACGAGTACGATCATTTCTAATGTCGCGGAGCAGTCCAGCCGCTGGGGCCTGGTGAGTATCTCAACGGGTATCACGTTCGAACTCGTTTTGGAGTGGATTCAAGAGCCTATTTTTATAGTTGAACAGCTTTTGAGATCTTGCAACGCTCAAAACGCAGATTGCATTCCCTATTCAAGCCCTGTCAAACGAGTGCGATTCCAAGATCGACTGGCAGTTAAGACGACGCACCGTAAAGTTTAAATTTTGCTGAAATCCGCGTCGCGTCTATAAATTTATCGGCATTCAGTTTCATGGGCGGGCCGAACGCGTCAATCACGCCGTGATGAGCTCCTATTCGCAAGACAATGCACGTGAATGCAGGCGATCGGACCGGGCAGTCCGCTGTGATACATGCCTCCATCGCTGGTGACAAGTGACGTTGTATGCTACGCGCAGACCTTAGCTAGCCTCGACTTTGTTAGCCGAGTTTGGCGGCCGGCCTGCTCCTAGTGGCATGAAACGCACGCCCTGTGAAGCACCTTCTCAGTTCGATCGCCCTCCAGGATGGGTCCGGAGCGACGAGGTAGTTCAATGCAAGGGATGACGATGCTCTGGAGAGCTGCACTCGAGTAGCCGTCAATACACATGAAGAATGGTGAAGGAACGATCCTCAACAAGGCCGCGACCTTAATCTGGACTGATAGTGAAAGGTTTGTTACCGGTTCGCACTCGTTTCGCAAGAACATCAAGTATCAACAATTCACAGCAAAAACATGCTGAAGGGTCAAGAACATCAGCCACATGCAGCGCAAACCTTTACATGCATTGCAAAACGAGTGCGTAGCGTCAATGTTTCGCCATGCCTTAAAATATCATGGAATTGGTTCATCGGGTCGTCCGACATGTATTTTTTTGAAAAAAAATCACTGTCTGACGATGGGGCACGCGTTTTGGTCGGAACGATCCTATTGACTGCGTTCAGTAAATAGCTCGCGCTTTCACTATAGCAGTGACAGATTTTCGAGACCAACAAAAACCGCATCGTAATTTCGCCATGTTCTGTGGTCAATGAAAGAGGCCTCCTTCAAGCTCCCGACGTTTGATCTTCATCGTCACCGGGTTAATGCCAGAACTACACAATGGATCCATTCTTAGTGCAAATTTGTACATCATCCTAGCAGTGTGGAGACGATGCCTTGCGAATTGTATTCATATAGCCTTGCACATCGAGAGAGATACTGGAGAATCTCGGCAATTCGATGCGACGAGCTAAGGATGGGCGATGCTTCGCTATACATCCGTCAAAATTCGGGAACTGTCACTGCATTTTTCCACTCCATCCTCCCGTTTCTCATAAGCGATCCGTAGTGATTGACAAGAAGAAATCTGTTCAGGTCTCCACCTCATAAAGTCGACATGAGAAAAGGCATAAGCTTGTAGCAATCAGACTACTTTGCCTGGGAATCGAGCGTTCCTACACACTGCGCTCCCCGCGGCGTACTGCGAATGCATATCTGGACTGAGGAATCGAGTCCAAAGATGTTTTATGGCTTACAACGCATCGTCTGATTTTCCAGACATGCTCAGACGACATTCCGTCTCGGCCAAGCATCTTCGGGGGAATGGAATATCAGACGGCTAAATCTCGTCACAGCCGATGAGTGAAGCAAAAAGGATCTCTAAGTGAGCAGAGATGGATCAGGCTGGCTATACGGTATCCTTCTGAAGACTGTTGTTATTATGAGGATACATAGCCTCCTCACATGGCTCGGCGACGAACCGAGCTTTTGCCAGTGTTTTTCATAGGAAACGGTTTCTGGGAAAAAGGTATCTGAAAGGGGACGACAGACTACTGAGAGGGCCCCGGCTTTACTGTACAGTATAATCTCAGCCTTTACGTCTGTCTTCTATTGTACCGCTCGATCAATTCCTCTTCTCCTGGGAAGATCCAGCCCACACCTGCATTTAGGCCGATATAATCTTGTCCATGGGAATCTTTTGGATTACAGGGCTGGGAAGTGGCGGCTTTCGAGGCGAGATGGTCACCTTGATCGGGTCGTTCCTCATTGTTGCTCGTCCGCCGTCGCTTGACACGATGCTCCAGCTGCTTGATGTAATCGACCATTTTACTGCAATCCTCGATTAGAAGTAGATTGCGTTCTCTCAACTAGAAGACATGCAGTAAGCATACGCCTAGCCAAATGCCTCCTTGTCGACTTACCTCTTCCAAATCATGTCCACGCTGTTCAAATTCTGCGCGCAGAGATGTCGACTCATCCTTGAACCTGTCGGAAACTGCTGCCAAATCGGAAAGTTGAGTCTTCAGCCTCCTGACTTCTTCTGCGTTGGACTTCCGTTCTTCGCTCAAGACTTCTATCCTGGCGCTCAGCTCCTGAACTGCTTGTCTTTCCTCCTCCAGAGCTTTCTCGGTGTCCAACTGTCGTTGCCAGACTTTCGGTACACCGAGTGCATTCACGGTCCCCTTCCCCCCATGGACGCTGGAGGGTATCGTTTGAAAGCCGTCTTTCCTTGGGGTTACAGCAGCCGGCGTCACCATTGTAGTCTCTTTCCGCAGCCTTGCAAGCCGGACTCGTAGCTGGATGTTCACCTGGCCCACATCCTTGGTACGGTCCAAGGTGGCTTTGCTTTCGTCCTTGGATCGACCATCACCCGGACAGTTGTGGTGGATGGTAGCAACCCATACGATCATAGAGGTGGTGAGATGTGACTGCAGAATAAACAGTCTACCAATATGGCGACCGTATCAGGCCAAGTCTCTCAGAGCTCCCTCGCTTACAATGGTGACTCGCGATAGTTCGGCTTTTCGCCTTTACCCATCTGGTCAAAACACCGGGTTAGGGCTAGAAGACTTTTGCAAGCATTAGCCTCTACACTCATGCTCTGAGGTCTGAGATCGACTGACGACCGTCGAATGTCTTTGCCCTCCTGTACTCGGTCCTTAGCACCTCCGCTGTCTGGCTCGGATCCTGCGAGATCCACAAAGACCAGCGAAGCACGTTCTGCGTGGTCTTTCCGCTCTGCAGACACCACCGGCTGACGGTCGATATTCTGCAAAATCGTTCAATACGTATTCACTTATGCGGTGGAGTCCCTGCTCACTAAAACCACCAGCCCGTGTGACCGACTACTAGTATCGTTCAATCCTGCTTTCGCCGCTGACCTTCGAGATTTAGCTTGAGCTATTACTCTAACAGCTTCTTCGACAGTGCGTACAGTGATTTCCGCAAAGACGGGCGGACAAACCTCTTGCCCGTTGATTTGCCGAGCAACCTGAAGCATTGGCAAGTCGTTGTCCTGATGAGACCGGGTCACCCCTGTCGAAGCACTCGCTCGAGAGGGAGCTCTTGTAGCAACTGGAGTCGGTGCGCGGCTTGGGTATTTGCTGGAGTGAGGCTGCTTTGCGGCGGAACATGCCAAAAGATCTCTTATCTTTCCTCCATATAACTCTAGAGCGGCGATGGAGACATTGGCGTCCGAAATGCTACCAGCCGCAAAGATCTCCAAAACCGATCGCTGAATGATGCCGGTAGATTTGACATCTCCAGACATCGTGTAAGTCTTGCCAGTGCCGCTCTGCCCGTAGGCGAACACCAGGAGTGAGTTCCAGCTAGACAAGACGTCTGACATCAAAATCACAGCCACTCATCTTGCTCACCTAGTATCTTTGGCTTCATCAGGTCCTCGTATACCTGCTCGTTCGAGTCTTCGATATCGTACAGGTGATGGGCTTCAAATGACATGACTGAGAGGTCATTTTGAGGGTTCGTCGAGAGTGTTCTGAGCTTTTCATCACCATTTGATACTGTCCAGAATCGAGCTTTGGGCGGGGCCGGCACTTGAAAGCCCTTCCCGCCTATACGGACTGCCACGCAAACCTTGTCTGGCGTTGTCATCCGGGGCGGTTGGGAGAACAGATCAAAGAAATCTCGTCATTTTAAATCATCGCTCAATATTTCATGACGCGATATTTAATTATTTAGCGTCTTTTTAAAATCGACAAAGGCATCCGCCAAAACAGTGACATCCTTTGCCTCAACTTGTCAATAGTCCCGACATCGACTAGGCCGTTACTCATGGAACATGGATCGCCTTCTCATATCCCCAGAATGTCGAGCAGACGATGTCTCGCTCGATTGCCTTCCCTCGCCTGATCTGTACCTCTCCATACCTGCCCTCGCTCCTTGGGCCCCACCCTTTATACCCCACTTCACCCGTCCCACGAGCCATTGGCCGATGCTCTACGTCTCCGGTTTGGCTTCGCCTCAGTTGGATCTCTGGCCACCGCATCTTGTCTGTCCTTCTGTTCATCCAGCCAATGCTAGTCGAATACCATTCTTGAGGCAGGTCTCAGATCACAGGCACAACGCCGAAGTGGTCGACTTGCTTCAGACGTATTTATCCCTGGGCGGGCTCCTGAAATTCCGACAAACCGGACATTACTGGCTGAACTGGGACTCAGAATTGGTTGTGAATGAGTTGAGCTCTCTAGGATCTAGGCTGCCCTCGTACCACTATAAGTGAACCCTCGACGTGGATTGTAACTGACGGTTGAATAGACCACGGCAGCCATGCTTATCGTGTTCTGCTGAGCGCTGCCTCATCGTCTCAACCGGTCCACCTGTGCAAGAATCGGATGGTAGCATATCGTTTCCCATCACCTGCCTAGGGTGCATAGTCAGTCAAACACAATGCCTCTTCGATGTGGGCTCCACAAAGGGCATCTCGATCCGTGCAATCTTCCCACTCCACGACGGAGCGGAGTCCAACGAATCGACCAGTGACATCGCTCACATGGTGACATGGAGTCCACAGAAGCCTCACACACCTCCGTCCGACTCAGCGCCTCCACCGGCTACCCAAGATTCTGAACTAGGATCAGGCCGACGACGCGATTGCACTACGTCTCCTCCACGCAAGCGGACTCGTGTCTCGGATGAGGTGAGGATCCCTGGTGCTGTCTCGTCGCTGACTCTCTTGAGCCGGAGAATCGTGCTCTGAACGAGTCCGCTGCCGCGGCCGTTGAATCTCTGCAGAGTATTCTGACTGTGACTGGAAATGAAGTGAGAGCCGCTTCATCATGTGACGCTGACTTACAGGAACCCGCACTCCTCGGACGCCGCTTAGCATTAGCATTACGTCCTCAACAAGCATCTTTCCATATCCGCATCCCTCTTGACGCCCTAGGAAATGCCGACGCACCGCACATTCTCGACGATCTGCCGTCCCCTTCGCATACTCTACTCTCATTCCGTACTGTGATCCATGTCTGCCCAGATGGTGTCTTAGATGTGTCGGGCTTCGGGTCCCATCTGACTAATTCCGAAGTTCTGAAGACATTCCCCGACGGCTTGGCGCCAATCCAGAATCTTTCCTCAAAAACCTATGACATCTCGCAGAGACGCCGTGTCACCCGGCATTCGGTCACACCTCGGCCTGCTGTTTCTCTACCTGCCATAATTTCGAATGATACAAGACACGAAGGGATCTCAACCTCCAATGAGCTGGACGATCCTGGCTTTGGAGACATTTTGACTCATCAATCGGCATTAGCTCTCCTACGTACCGGCGTGAAGGATCACACCATCGCTGCCACCTGGTCATTCGTCCGACCCATTCTGGTCGGCGACGCTCTCTTTCATTTGCGGCCGACTCTGCAAATACACCCCGATGGTATTCTCCCACTCCCGGACCCTGACAACATCCAGCGACGTCATGCTCAGGCCATGGCCCGATCCATCCCGTCGCTCAGTCTTTTGCCTATCCCTTGCCCGAAAATCGATGTACTTTCGATTGCGAGCCGACCGCACGACATCTACACATCCGACACCGTCGCAGCCATATTATCTGGACTCGCGCTTTGCTTCATGGCAACCCATCCTAATCAATCAATCTCCTGTGGGCTGTCTATGAAGCCAATATCAGTCATCGATGCCGGCGTAGAAATTCGGCAAGATTGGGAAACGTCAGTGGTATTCCTCATGAATCGCCCCTGCGGAGAAGAAGTCAATCAGCAGATCCGTGTAGAATCTCTGGACCGTCTTTTTGGCGTGATTCTGCTGGATGGATCGTGGGTTGCGGTCAGTTTGGTGAAAGACGACGAGGATGTAGTCATTTTCACCCAAAAGCCGTCACAGCCGCACCCCGACCACTCGACCGCATCCGTGGTGGACATGCTCCGAGATGGGGTGAGCGAGAGACCATAGCTTCGCACAATTGCTGACATGGTGAATTAGGCCCTCGGGGAGTTGGTAAAACGCTTCTTCCCCTCTGTCAGTCCTCGCTACCGATTCAAACCACAGGTGAACGGGCATCCGCGCCTTGGAATGCGAGCTGACTAACTCCCTGACCAGTTTTCAACGATGACACCTGCCACTTCCGGACCCGTAGCTCTTCAGATTATCCGGTTACTGTTGCAACAGGGCGCGATTGGCTCCATGGCATTGACCTTTGGGGGCCACTCGGAGCACGAACTTGAAAAACGATGGCGTTTGCGGCAGGCAGAATGGGCGGTGCAGCGACTGGAGGCGGAGCAGCAGCTTCGAGGGGTTTTGCAGCTCCTTGCGCGGAACCCTCGCACCGATACTTGATGACATGCGTCGAGCCCTACACCGGTATTGAGCAACCTGCCGTCTACCCGGCTGCGTACAGTTCGGAGACGACTCCGCCGCGATTGCTCCAGGGGTTGCAAGTCTACACAACTGCATGCAGTGTACGGCTCATCGCTCCACGACCTCCTGGCGGCGCTCCCAACGATCCTCAAATCAGATTGCACTCTCCGCTTGTGCGAGAGGAGGTCCAGTAATTCTCTGCTCTCTCGAGCTGGAATTCCTGTTTCGGTTTCAGCGCCGATCGCTCAATCCCATCAATCAATCTGCTGTTATCGCTCGTAAATACACGACACGCCTTCGGTTTGACCATCTCATGATGCCGCTCAGCCCCTTAGCCGTATAAAAGACTCTCGTCTCAACAGAGTCATGGTGCAAGCAAGTATTGCTTCCGGCTTGAGTATGTATGCCCGATCCACGTACGCTTGACTTACTTCGACCGTGAGGAGACAGTAGATGAAGAGACTCGTAAGCAGTCGGCTCGGCAGATACCATGAAATGCTCAGAATGGAAGGTATCTGGTAGTGATATCGATATGTAAGGTTCACTGGCATGTGCTGCGGCCTTGTTGGGGGAGGCGAGTACAGAGGAATGAATATCCCGGAATTGACCAACCAACCGCTTATCCGTGAGATTTTCCCGCTCATTGAGGACCAGTTGGAATCTTTCAATCTTTTTGTGTACATACTCAGAGCCTTGTCTGCGCACTGGGTCTATCAGCTCAAATTTCATGCACAATAACCAATGAGGCTTCATTGTGAGGTAATGGAGGAGTCTTCACCACAATAGATTCATTCTTCATCCATCGGGAACTGTGCTATCGTTCGGGGACTCATCGGATGACAAACTGGATAATGAGCCTGACAACAAATATACAACAACGGATCTAAGAGACCGTCAATGGCTAGACGCCGTCCGCAATAACTGCATCTCGATCGCACAGATGGACAAAAATGGCTTGAGCATCTCACAGATCGGCAAAAGGTAATTTCTTTTCGGAGCCTCGAATGAAACGTCTGAAAATTGGTTGCAAGCCGTTGCAACATCACAGAGACAGACGGTATGACTTAGTGCTTCGCATCGCACCTCACTCAGGCAAAAGCTTGCGTTGAGAACAGTGTTATGTTCCATGGTTTGACGACTTTCGAGGTCAAGTACAGTCTGCACAATGCTGCTTGCAGCAAGATGCGTGAAATTGTTTCAAGGGGACAACAATTTCTCATAGTATTCACTTCCTTCGTCGACAGACCGAAGGTCTGCAACCATCTTAAACACGAGTTCTGGAGCGACCATGATACCACTTCTGCCTTCAAGCAAAGAGTCAACAATTTTCCGCATCCTTGGTAGATGCTCGGGGTTTGCCGACCATTTGCAAAATCTCGCGAAAAACCAATCGACTTTTGCAAAATTTTGCAAGAATTGTTTTGAGGTTAGTTGGGGTTACGGAAATTTGCAAATTAATTCTCTTCGTTTTTGCAAAAACAGCATGGGTTCGCCAAGCATGGGCCCGCTAAGCATGGTTTCGCCGAGCTGCAAATGATGAAGTGTGGTCATCGACCGTAACGGTCACCAGTTTCTCCTGCTGAGTTCAGCCGATGTCCGGCGCGTCTTAGTAGTTCTGGCTATGGCCTGCCGTAAGAACGACAGCATTGAAATAAGATTCTGTATCCTGAAGAGACTGCTTTGAGATCAGTGATTGTGAGCTGATCCGGCTGTGGACACCCTTCTCTGAGATCGCCTATCCTGCAAGATCGATGTTCAAGGTGCTTGTTTTGCAATCTCCTTGGGCTAGGTGCAATCTCGTTCTCGGGGAGACCTGGTATACTATCTTTACGAGAGTCAACGAACTGTTCGCTCTAGTTTGGCCATAACACTTGTTACCAAAGAGTTGCCATGGGAAGATCTTCGTGTCGTGGTGCATCTATCAAACATGTGGGTTGAATCTTAGACCAGCTGTGAGCCGTGCAGTCCTATCTCTGTACTCTCGTTGTAGCATAACGTTCAGAGGCGGCAAGTTGACGTAATCAGCTTTACTTCCTATTAAATTCGTATTGGTTGTATTTCCTCGTGCAGCATTCGTTTGTCAATGAGCGCGTCGCAGTTTTGAGCCTGTTGACCTTTAAGTATATCGCATTCTTTGATCCCACACCAGTGTCCCGATCGCGCGGCATCGCTGTGTCATCTCCCATCTCGTCGTTGTGAAGCTGTACTTACATTAATATCACTTCAGGTGATCCGAGAACCACAGAAAAGCACCTTGTTAGCTAAGATTGTACAAGACTGATTTAAGGTCCGTACATACCGTGTGATCATTGACGCGGTTCTGAGGGATCTCGTCAATACTTGTACACGCATGTTGGTACATAGTGATGCATGTGAGTGCAAGGGATTTATAGCATCGGCTTGTTGGCACGATGTTGAGCATATAGGTGTGTCAGTTCAGAACACGGGCTGTATCTTGCTATCACTCGGCATCATGGCTGACGGTTTCAAAAGTCAGTTTCGCTCCTCCGTCTTGGTTTCAGAAAAAGAAATAGTCATGTCTCAGCTGACATATAACTTAAGCGCTCTCCACCGGAGTTGCTGTTGTCAATCTCAAATCTCTCTGGTGTCCAGTGTATTAATCTCTGATGATTATCTGCCATGAACTTCCTTTTTAGCACGTCTGGCATGACCAGAGCCTAAGTGTAAGAGCACTTGAGGAATGCACGGTGTCTTCTGATGGTGGAGGAGCATCAGCTTTTGGGTTTCATCCGAAGAGAGACAGTTTCCTGAAGTCTCGCACAACGAGGAGGTCGATAGCTTCTTTCTACCCAGCAGCCAGCCCGTATGCGTACATATTGTCTCCATGTGTGGATATCGTTTTTTCGGCGCCTGAAGGAGAGCACACTGAATACCAAAGAAATTAAACTTGCGAATACTGCGAAAATCATCATGAATTGCCCTCAGTAATGATCGATCCACATGACACTACATTATTGACCTCGTGGGGAGATTATGCACACTAATGGTCCGCCTCCCGTGATGAATTATGTAGAGTACTGTTTTCGTTGAGCGCATATCATCTTGCAAGCTCTCTGGGTGATCCTGCGCATCAGCGATAGTGTCTTGAACTGAGAGCGTAGGGAGAAGTGCACCACGATTCAAGTCTTCCCCGCCGGACTGGACAATCCTGCTAGATTGTTCATGACTGACCTGCTGGTGAATATGGAGGACAGGCAAACATATTTGTCGAATTTGAGCGCTGGATGCTGAATAAAGACCGAGTGGCATATAGAAGAATAGAAGGATAATAAAGAAAGTAGTGGGAAAAATGATTTAATGGCGAGATAGAAGCGCAAATACTGACAATTCCGACAATATCGAATATGTGATCGCCTGAAATTCTTGCAGGACGTTTCCAGCTGCTGTCATGCAATGCTTAGATTCTTGGTCCTCGACAATTTACTTTGTTTTTTTGTGAGATTATGCACTCAACATAGGTCAAACTTCGTAGTCACTGAAAATGTTCTGCTTCATACTGTGCATTCTGGTTATTTCAAGTATGAGTACGGAGATATCGACAAATGATATATCAAATTTTGGGGCATTCTGCAAGTTGCGTATTGCGTGCGCATGACACGAAACGATCGACGTAAGCAGTCGCATCGACAACACGATTTCTCATGACAGCCCAGCGACTTCGTTTACCAATTTCTTGCTTATTGAACAGCTATCACTCACCACTCATCCCAGCCATCGATGATGCTTCGGTGTCTCATTCTGTTGATCATCGCTTTTCCCCCACGCTGAGAAACCATCCATATATTTCGTCCGGCCTTTTGTATGAAATCGCATTATATTGGTTTGTGAGAGCGGAGGGCTTCATTTCGTTGTCATTGTGGAAATGAGAATAATCTCATTTGTGTGCGATAAATCTTTGGTCGATCACTCTCACAAGATCGCTTCAGAAAGGAACGCATATATCGGCCCCCCATAGTGAATCCGAATTATCAGCAATGCATCATTTCCCGGATTCCATCAATAATACTGACTCCCTACTCTATCCCAAATCATTGTACAATTTCTCAACTGCAGAATGCTGACTTAAACCTGGTCGAGCACAAAAATGTGATGGTAATCAAGACCAATGAAATGCAATGCAGTGCCATCCGGATGCAATCTTGTGCAATCTTGTGCATTCGGTGTGCAATTTTGTGCAATCGGAGTGCAATATTGGGCAATCGGATGCATTTCGAATGAACACGGAAATTCACTTGAGCTGCAACAAATTGCAACGAAATGCAAGGGAGTACAATCAAGTGCAACGGAATACAATGTGATGCAAGTGAGTGCAAATAGATACAAAACCTCGCAATGAAGTGTTGTTCAGTGTAGTGTAGTGCAATGGAATGCAATGGAGTGCGATCGAGTGCAACCGAGTGCAGGCGAGTGCAATCGAGTGCAATGGAGTGCAGTGGAGTGCAATGGAGTGCAGTGGAGTGCAGTGGAGTGCAGTGGAGTGCAGTGGAGTGCAGTGGAGTGCAGTGGAGTGCAGTGGAGTGCAGTGGAGTGCAGTGGAGTGCAGTGGAGGGCAGGGGATCGTGATGTAGTGTGATGTAGCACGATGAAGTGCGATGTTGTGTGGCCTACTGCGATAGGATGCAACAATGTGCAATGAAATGCGATGAAGTACGATCGGTTGCGATGCACTGCAGGAAAGCGATAGAATGCACAAGGGTATCGCAATTCATGCAGCTCAATGAAATGCTCGGATGACGGTAAATTACAATGGAATGCGATGCTGGTCTGCTAGTTCATTGGCATCAGCCGCTTTATGAAGGACCCGCCGATTCATTTAAATGCGCTATCGCGTTCACTGTGAGCCAGAAGTGTAGTGCATCGAATCACGATGCAGTACGTGAGGGTGCAATGGGCTACGCTTCAGTAGAAGGAGATGTAATGAGGTGCAGTGGATTGAATGTAAGGGCGGGCGGGCGCGACGGTTTGCAGCGAAGAGGCATGAAGGGGCTAGCGGTGCGAACTGACCCTAGTTCTGCCTGATCCGAAATACAGTGAGATTTGCCATTGTAAGTGTCATTAGCGAATGACACCGATCATATTCAGTGAATGCACATCAAGCAGCCTATACAATGGACGATGATCGGAACTGTTGACTGGCAATCGTTCCGAGACTGCGGCGGTCAGTTATGCCCAATCAGTGCTAGATGAGGAGCTCGACACGAGACCACGCATGCAGGTCAAAGCGGGCACCTTCTGTTCAATTGGCTGGGCCGAGCAGAATATGAAAGTCCTTTCCGATTGGGTTCAAGTTGTACTCCAAAGCCCATTTTGACCGGCCAAGCACGACACTACTCGGGGAAAAGAAAACAAGCACGCCACTGTGAGTTTGTAACGAAACAGTTGTACCACATAGTAAGCCGTCGTCACCCAACCAAAAGAGATTAACCCCCTTATGTTTTAAATTTGCTCTTACTACTAATTTTGCAAATTTTGCAAATTTTGCAAATTTTATATTTTTTGCAAAACAGTGTGACACCCGGGGAAGCCACTCAGCCACGCTACACTCTCAGCTTCAAATGAAGGGTATTGTATCGTGAACCGAAGACTGACTTGACATGCATAACAAACAGAGATTCCGTTTCAGCTCAGGAGTCAACTAGATTATGTGAATTTGCGTGACAGATAGAGTCCACCAGGCGTGACAGATAGACTCCACAAGGTGTTCAATGCCCCGTTCACAAATGGTCGGGTCGGATATGCTCAGACGGACATTCTTTCTTGGTTGTAGCTTGCCAAACGTAAGCGGTATCCGACGGGCTGAGCGGTGACATCCATCGCAACAACGTGGCCTTATCATCCACCCAAAAACATGAGCTATAGAGCTCAAAGCTCTCTCTCATGATCTTCGGCGTTGTTCATGAGCATACGCCGGTGGAAGAATATCTACAGTACAAAGTCATGCTCTACCCAAGAGACGGTGGAATCTCAAAGTCTGAACCTCTCCAGATCGAGAATCTGAACCCTGCCCCCATACTGAACATAGGCTGATCCAAGAGCTGGCTCGCCCCCGGAAGACCCGTCGTTCTGAGGGTGAGGAGCACCTATGCTAGAGAGATGAACCCTCAGGCGTCGATAGTGCCTCGTCCGAATGAGGAGGCTTTGATCTTTCCAATGGGCCCCCACAGCCATCACACAAAGACTTGTACACCTTTTCTAGACCGCGCACCGTCGACATCGATCGAACGTCCGGTGATGCTTCCTTAGTCACGCCTTTTGGCCAGCCTACCGTAGCGTTGAGCGGGCACTTTGGATTATGAAAGAACTCACGTGTCGCGTAATACGCTCGACACTCGTCAATCTGACTCAAGAGCTCCGCTTGGGCAGGCACCGAAGCGTCAAGCTGGAGAGTGGAACGGGCTCGAGCGAATGCAAGGATGAGAGATGCGAGCTGAACATCGAGTTAGTGCAGCTCGGGTGCAGGGTCGTACAGACTCACCGGTTCAGTGCTGGCCTGAATGTGTGTCCGATAGTCCCTGGCAGTCTTGCGCTTGATATCGCGCTGGAGCAGTGGCTATCAGCGCCTCGAACCTCAGAGATACGTGCGATGGACTCACTGGGTCTTCACCACCTCGATCTTTCCTCCATCCCACAGGGCGCCCACGCTTCTTGGGCGGCTCGTCCTCTTCCTCGTCTGTCCGATGACCTGGTTCCCAAGCGCCTGGTGTGGCATCAATAGCACCTGTGCCACGCTCAAAGCTACTCGTTGGTATGGGTGGAGGATCGAGTCGAGGAGCGACTTGTACAGGAGGGGTCATGATATCGGCGGGATGGACAGCGGCGATCTGAAGGCTAGTGCGAAGTGCAGATGGAGAATGAGGGGTATTGTGGTGGATCGACCTCATGGTATGGTCGTCTGATAGCGAGGTGGATTGCTGATGTGCGTTCCAGCTGGACAGCAGGTCTTGCAATTGAGAGTTAGAGGCTACTGCATCCGATCCCCGTCCAGATCTTGTAAAGGCTTGCTCATCAATGGTGGACGAGCCATGGTCCACTAAGTGATCGGCCGGCTGTTCATTGGGATCCTGCATTGGCTGCTCAAATACGGCTGTCCAAAAGCTGTCCAAGCCGGTGATTGACGAGTTGGAGGTATCAGTGGTCGAAGGGCCGAGACTTGAGTGTATGGGCAATGATTGATGTATGGTCGAGTAGGAGGGTTGAGTCAGGTCGGTGGACGAAGATGGGATGGTAGCTCCGAAGAGGTTATCGAAGTCGTATGCGGTGTGAAGGGGCAAGGAGAGAGCAGTCTGCAAAGGGATGCGATCTTGAGAGACAGCGACATCAAACACCTTGAACGGGTCGTCCAATAGCTCGATAGCGATAGGGGCCGTTTCATGGGAAGCTGGGGCGGTAGGGGAAGGTTGAGGCTCTGGGGCAGCAGAACTAGAGTCGGTCGATGCGGATGATGAGGAAGAGCCACGACGGCGACGACGATCTGGAGGACTGTCAGCGTACGGGCGGCCCGTAATAGGATCGACGGTCCTCACGTTGGAAGGCCTGTTTGAGTTTCGCCTGTATTCCATGGTGCAATGGCACCTGACAGATGGCTGCAATGGTCTCTTTGTCACGCCATCTAGTGGATCGGTCTCGTTCGATCTTTATGCGCACCTGAATCAGATCGTGTCAGCCAGAGCCGATGAGGAGGAGAGTAACTAACGGCTAGACGTTCAACCTGGGTCAGTGGTTGACGAGGCGTGATCGATTGGAGAGCAGTACAGATGAGATCTACGAGGCGCTCCATATATGGTGTGCCGATAGGTATAGGCCATTGTACGGATGGGTCGTCTATGAGAGAGATGGACGAGGGAGAGGAACTCATAAGAAAAGCGCTCTCTATATCTACTCATGGGCAGAAACAACGATGAGGTGAGAAGATAATGGGAACGAGATCAGTTAAGAAATGACGGGGGAATTAAAAATGACGGAACAAGTAAATATCGGCTAAAATTGATGACGTGATTTTTAAAGACTAACGCAGGAAAACCACGTGCTATTCAGTCAACTCCAGATGTCCCTCTAGTCAAGGGAATTCTGAGCGCATCGCGGTCACTTTCAGACACCAGGTGACGTGGGTTTGGCCCGTCAATAGAAGACGAGACCAATGGCATCCGGCCGGGCGATGGTATGCATGTGAGAAAACGCAAGGATGTTGACGAAAGACCTCGATACGACAGACGCCCAAAGACACTTCGACATCAAGGTTGAGCGGAAATCATGGCACCAGGAAGGAAACGGAGATGACTTGTGGAGAAATATGAACATACGCCTATAACAATCGGCATTGATTACGACCTGGCATTGTTCGAGTTACGGAATCTACAGAGTCAAGGCGATTTCATGTCCTCCGTAGCAGATATCTGCAAATTTCCGGATATGACCTTGTGAATGGATGTAATGCCCCCTCAGGTCAATCCCAATACAGAGCAGAAGATCTACATGCGGAAGAGACGGGGACTGGAGTCGGGGCTCTTAGATAGATCACGGGGCATATATCAAAGCTTGAGCTACTACTGCACAGAGCTCATGAGTTGCGGCAGATCACTATACAGTCTCAGGGCTGCGAAGACTTCGCACTGAGTCTCCTCATCGGGATGGCTCGCACCACTTCTTAGGAGGCCGGGTTGTATCCTTCTCCATATACATCATAAGATGGTTGTAGTGAGAGAGAGCTGTTGGAGCGGTTCAATTCTACATCACGTTCTCGAGAGACCGCGAAGGAGTTGTCCACTCACACATTCGCCATCAGAGAGCCAAGCGGAGACACGGCATGTTACATTTCACGGTCTCAGGCGACTGAATGAGTGTAGAGCTAGCCACATTTTCCCCGATGCCTGAAGAGAGTGGGCGAAATATATGATCATCAGCTCCGTTGACCGCCACAAGCGCGTTTAGTTGCATTCCAAGATGAACTGGAAGTTTCATTCCAAGATGAACTGGAAGTTTAACCGGCTGAACAATTCTCAGTCTAGAGCGATTCCACTTAGCCGATGCGTGTGTTGAACGAGTCCCGGTAGGCTGTGCCAAGAAACGGACAATCCTTGGAGAATATTGTGATTAGCTTTGAGCAGGGAGAGAGCAGCTCTCAAGAAGAGTGGCCCTCTTGGACTGTATTATACTCAATTGTACACTTGCAACGAAATACCCCCGTCCCACCCGCTTTCCCCTAATTTTGCATCTACACACTGGCTTGATCCCGCAGCCATATCGCAGAAGTGACATCTGGGTGCATGCATTTACTGTGATAAAATGTTCATGCTCATACACAGAGCCCGATGGCCGACCTAAGGGATTGCTTGACCGATACAGTATGGGTCGACTACCAGCAAGTAGGTTGACAGTAATCTCGTTCTGAACGTCGCAGATGGCGTACCAAAGGGTCCAACTACATGCTCCGCGATTCAGATCGTGGTGGATTCTCATTCTTCAAGCATTCGTTGCAGACGATGAAGCAGATGGTGCAGGTTGGAGGAAAATCTCGGCTCAATTCACTCGTAACGGACAGTGGAGGTGAGAATATAATGGGTAGAGAGGTGTGCAGGGATGAGAAACACTCCACCGGGAGACAGGTCAGGGGGAAATACATCGACTACACAAAGACGTGCGCCAATGGCACAACAAAACTCGACATGACGGGGGAGGAACGAGATCGGCGCCACTTGCTAAAAACATTTGCTTCTATCAATTGCAAAATACAGCTGTTTAGGCGTCAGCAGGGGCATACAATGATACGACAATGTGATTAGCTGAAACCTGCTGAGCAGTGATCGTCCTCGCACACCTGGACGGTCTATCTCTGATCTCCAAACTTCTGGACATTATTGTGCGACTTCTGGTCAAAGCAACCGTCGAGAAGACCGGCCTCGCCAAGACATATGACCTACCACATGGACGGCTGAACTCAGAGACTTCATGCAGCCACGTCTCGGGCAGCTAGACGCACAGAGAGACGACTTCGAAAGGGGGCCAGTCCCAGCGCATATCTCGCTATAAGAGAGCGGAGCGGACCCTCGTAGAGGGTCAATGGATGCTTCGACCGCAAGGTTAAGACGATTCTGACTGAGTTTAGAATGTATAGCTTATCTCGGGACCATTCACCGATCTCATGCATATCAAGCGGGTGAGTCAGGGATCTCCGAGCGCCTAAACGCATAAGAAAAGACGACATACGTAAACATCGCGCCGCAAGTTACGTAAATCTTAGCACGTGTCGTTTATTCCCACGCCTCTTTTCCACCCTGAGTCATCTCGCGTTGTTTGTCTTCCAACGCCGTACGTCACATGCCATACATTGCAGCATGCCATCCAGCGATTACGATGACAGCCCGGACAGAACTGAGGACGACTCGTTCATTAACGAGGTCCGGAGGGAGCAGAGGGAGCAGGGTGCAGAGGATGACGATCCAGTGAAGCACGACGGTAATGAGGGTCAAAATCCCAACAACGACACATCGTCACGGTCAGGCTCAAGGGCTGCGTCATCATCTCAAGGCTCAACTCCAAGTCGGGTGACAGATGACCCCGTCAGCAGGAGTACAAGGTTACTCAGAGACTCGCTAGCTGCACCGACTCAGTTTGCGACTGGCCCTCCTCGTTTCCTTCGCGAATTGGGGTTCAGATACAAATCAGGGCAGGGCTGGTAGTCAGTACCGCACTCACACCGAGCCCCTAGATGCTGACACCGCTTCCAGTCACAATGATTTGCACTGTCAGACCAGCAATCCCCGAACCACATACTTCCATACCATTTACATCAGCAAGACTGCCAGCATAGACAGCATCCTCCTGCCCGTCTGCGTAAGCTGCCGAGCCGCAAATCCTTCTCGCAAGCGTGGTTTGAGCTGCTATTATTCGCGACAACGGAATTCTTGCAGAATCGATGTATATCTTCTTGGATGGGAAGAAGACGACGCGTTACGCACCTACAACTTCGATGAAGAAGGTCCCATCCACTGGGATGATGAGCTACGACATGACATGGATGCGGAGCAGCAAGGGATCCCCCGTTCTCGGCGCTACAAGCTCTTGCGGACCACGAGGGTGGAGAGAAGTGGAATCCGGCACTCAGCTCGTCACGTTGATAATGCAGAGAACGATGAAAATGACGCACCGAACCAAGGCCCTTCCGACTCCCTCGTAGGCCCTACCATTCATCTACGTGACATGGCGCGGGTTCTATTTTCTTGGGTCATCCCCGAGACTTTCCAGCAGCAGGAGGCCGAACTCAATGTGGGTACCAGATGTTGTCAAGCTGTCGTTTGCATCGCTGACTCCTCATGAGGCGAGTATTGAGCTAGGAAGAAATCAAGCAATGGGATTGGCACCTCAAGTCGATGACATGCAGGGAGACGACTTCGCTGCCGATTCACAGCAGTCCGATCACAGTAGTGCTGGTGGTATGGACATGGAAGTATGGCAAGACGATAACTTCGACCCCGGAGACGTAAGCAAACGTGTACCCAATGCCCTGTTGATGCCCTAAAAGATGGGTTTTCCCAATAACGAGACGCAGCAAACGTCCGACACTCACGTCCCGACACCCTCTGTCGACCTGAATGCAACCGAGAATGCCGGCCCGCTTGGCGGGATTGACACTGGGGTGAGCTGAGCGTCGTTGACAAGTGCTTGGCTAACTGGTCGACAGCTTCCGGAACTTCCTTTGACGGCGAATAGCGGCTCAAGCTCTTCAGGTACGTCCATTTAATCAGTGCCTACTGACCTGCGGCAGGCTCCTCACCTCGCATGGTACGCCATACACAGCCTCTTGTGAGATACGATTACCCGGTCGATTGGGACATTATGCCCCATCGTATACGTCATCTCGAGCGACGTGAAGCAGAGCTCCTGGCGATGGTCAACGACCTCTGCGAGGAACCAACCAGACAACAATTGCGCTCGAAAGAAGAAGAATTGGCGAGACTCAGGAAGACCCTCGAGAGACTTCATCTCGACAATCATTACGCCGCGATCCACCAAAGTTCGCAAGAAGTCTTGCTCAACCGTCTCAAGTCTGCCCTAACAGCGAGGACCGCCGGTGAAAAGAGAGCGATCTCGAGTTCTCATGACTACCAACGCCTAGCATCATCAATGACTTCTCAGATGATGGAATTCGAATCCTTGCTTGTGGAAGAGCGGACCCGGACAGAGGAACTAGAGGACGACTTGAAGGAATCAAGGGCGTTGTGCGATCGCAAGGACGAGGAGAACAAAGAGTATCATCGAAAAGCCCATCATGCACTCAACCTGGCGAACGCGCGAAAAGACGACCTGTTGAGACTCGACAGATCACTCGCCGAAAGTCGTGAACGTATCATTCTTCGTGACCGTGTGATATCCGATCTCGAACAAGGTCTGGCACGTGCGAACGCCGACATCTTATCGCTGCAGACATCGAAGGAAAGCCTACAAACGAACCTGGCTCACACCGAGAGGCAGCTAGAAGATGCGCGCAAAGAGAGGAGACGGGTTGTGGAGAGGCTGTATGCCGACATCGATCATCATCAGGCGCAGCAAAGCGCCTTGCAAGACCTCTTGAAGCTGTCCCATGCTGAACACAGCAGAGACATGAAGGCCGCGAACCTGGAGCTCAAGTCGGAAAAAGTACGCCGCGACCAACTTCAGTGCCAGTATTCGGATCTCAGTGAGCAGCTTCGGTCAGCTCAAGAAGAATTGTCTCGGACCACCAAACGCCGTTTGGAGGACGTTGAGCTCGATGAGCAGATTGAAAGGCTGCAGGCCCAGAAACGCTCTCGAAGACAGGGATCCCCTGGAAAGGCCGCTGGAGATGTGCCGTGACTGGGTGTGTAGCTGTCCTAGTCAGCAGTGCTCTGCTCAATGTATGACTCGGATATCGTAGAGATACAACGATTGGCACAACACAGTTGTCAGATATCCGAGGTCTCTTTGTGCCCTTTCCAACGACAGGCGCATTATATGCATTTATCTGATGCAAGTGGCATTATTATGTGCAGCTTCTAATGTATGTACAACGTGATCTTAGGGCCCCATTTCAAAGAAGAAGAGGCTCGTGTGAGGTACTGTATCCGTCTGCGATTTGAGCACGCGCTGGGACTAGGATGACACTTCTACGACCGACCTAATCTATCCACCACTTTTTCTGCTTCTTCGAAAAGGCCACATACCGATCTGATCCAGACTTTCACTTCCTCCGGAGACCAACTCTCTTCCCACGAGATAACTTTCAGCATCAAGGTATTGAAAGGTTTGCCAGATAGTGGATTGGTATGAAATTTTGTTCCGCCGCGCTTTTTTGAATCTCGATGAACTGTCAGAGGACCGTTCAATAAATGCGACATAGACAAAACCTATTGGATCATGAGGACCTACTAGAGATTTCGATGTGTACTGCCCGAACTGAAGCGATGTACCTTGGAGCGATGAGAATGGCATCATCCACCGCACCGAGGACCCCTTGACTGACAGGGCCCAGATTGGCGTCCCGGATGAACTCGCGAGTGCTATCCATAACTTGACGTAACTAGTGGAGACAATAATCAGTCAAATGCTTTTTTCGACAGAACACTCACCAAAGCTTTCTCGAGGCCTGTTCTCGTTGCGGAGACTAAAGCACGTAATGAGCTTTCTTTTCCTACCCTTGGAACATTCAATGTTTTCGGATCCGTTGGGACCGACTCGACAAGCGTAGATGATGATGCAATGGAGGACATGCTCGGACTGCTGGAGGAGGAAGTATGTAGCGTTTGACATGGACCCGTGGTTGGAGGTGCAACGCTCTGCATGGTCGTTCTCCAATGCTTTGGTGATTGCAAGACAACGGTCGCAGATTGGCAGTCTGTCAGGTCGTCCAAATGCACAGGATTGACGCGATCCGCTTCGAAGTCGAAGTCGGTGTCGATGGAGGAGCGAAACGACGCGCTGCGCTTCTTCTCATCCGATGCCTCTTGAAGGTGGGTTTTTGTTGACGTGATCGTATTTTGAACGGTGACTGGGTCGATCCTGAGCTTTGCCAGTTCCATTCCGGCTCGGACGCGATACTCGTAAGAGTGCTGGGGAACGAAGGCAAGCGCGTGCAGGATGGCCGGATGGTGTTCCGGTGAAATCAATTGCAGGTCAGGCTGAACGAGATCCGAGATAGACTGGTGTATATGGCGCACGAGTTGGTCGTGGTGGAGGAGTACCGCCATGGCTTTGCCGAGTATGCGAGAAGCGGCCTCTGCCACAATGTCCTCATCCCTGCTGGCGCTCATGATGTCTCACGGGATGAGTATAATCAGAAGGGGAAACACCAGGACTCTCGTCATTTTTAAAACAATTACATTTAAAGATCGCGAGAAATAAATCCGCAACAGACCATCGCTTTTAAAAATCACGGGAAAGAAATCAAACAATGGCGAATGTTCTTTAAATATGCTGTGATAAATAATAATCAATCAACTCTATGTCCGGGAGAACCGAGCCCATCATGCCATTGCATTCCAATTTCAATCATGTCACGCCGATTAGTCTATGGAGATCTCATTGTTGTTCCGGCCCCTTCTTTGATTGACTTGCAGCATTTGGAGCTCCCGTCACACCTTCGCCTTCTGAGACCGGCTCGGTACCTGCACTCGGATTCCAACAGCAATCACCACGTTGTGCAACCTTTACGTCCAGATGAGGAGGCCCCGGAAGCCATACCCGTAGGGGATTGCATGCCTTTAGCGATCTTGTACAAACATGTCAGGCTCGATGTGCCATCACCCAACATGCAGAGAATGATCGGATATGTCAGGAACGAAGCAGTTCAAGACTCGCCGGCTTCCCTCTTCTGTCAGGCTTGGATCATCGCATCCGTAGGTGACTTGCATCGCCTTCGGTTGTGCTGACAATCTCTGTTAGACATTAGTTTCCAGTACTTACGGCATAATGGGCCTGTCACCTCAACTCGATCCCACTTCAGAGGCCTTGGCTTTACAGGTGACTGCGTCCGATGACCGTCGACCTGACCTTCCCCTTATCAGGCGATTTACCACCAAGGGATAACCTACCGACTGGGCGATGCAATCTGCATGCTGAAAGACGCGCAGGGCGCGCAACCTTTCGCTCTAGGGTGAGTCTCTGTCTGAAGGGAACACTTGGGAGGTCAATCCGCTGACTGCATATCAGGCACGTGCAAGTCAAGCTTGATGAGAAAAGTCGTCACAGCAGACACAAGCGGAGCCGAATCAGGGGTCGTCTTGAGCTTGGCTTGCTCGGGGATGTGTCAATCACGGCTGTCTCTCCCGCTGGTGGGTGCTCAATCAAGTTCTTGCGAAGTTTCTCACCTGCTGACACGAGCAAACAAGTCCTATGCCACCCCTCCATTGACCTGTCATCCTCAACCATCGCATCGATCGATGATCCCACCGGGAACCTGAAGGACATCCTTAGTCACGCCAATAGCAAGTACGATCGACTTTGGGCCCTTTCTGAGCGGACTCAGCCAGATGTCTATGGTGGGTCTATTGAACGCTTTTTCGTCCACGAGCATGGCTGAAGTTACTACAGACTGCTGGAGTGGAATTGATATGCTTTATAATTCAATTTACGCGAGGACACTGCGGAAGACCCTCAGAATGGATGTGATGTGGGGATAGAGGGCGAACGATGTGAGAGCAACGATTGTTGTGAAATGAATGCTCATTCGTCAGAGATAGTCTGTATTGAGTTACAGGTCACGGACGGCGATATCAACTCTCACACCGGTGACTGATAGATACGGATGGTCCGGCTTATGCGGCCAGCCTCTACTACTCCCGTATTCTTATAGTACTGTACATCTGGGTGTGGCGGTCCCTCTTTCTCTCTCACAGTCCAAGGTGCTGGTAAGGGTGCCAATGGATTGGGTCTCAGAACCATCCTCCACAACGACCTAAGGAGGATTTCTAGGCGCCGCTGACATCAAATGCAGCCGCTCAAGCTTGATACGGTAGTATGAGACAAAATGCGATGATTTCGCATTTTGCCCGATACTGATGACTAGGGTCGAGACGATGAGAGGTACTTGGCTCTCGAACTCGTTTCGCAGCAAGCCAGCTACTTCAGTCTTGCTCAACAATGCTCATTACATTGTTCACTGGTCGTGCAATGACCTAATACAATGACTGTACACATGAGCGACGAGATCGTTTGACACAAACGCTATTGTTGCGCCATGCACTCCGCTCCGTGTCTCCTCAGAGGACGCGGAACAGGGATTACGCAGGCGATCGTATGCTTGACAGCTATCAAAAAACCCACCCAGGATAGGAATGCTCGACCCTCACTGACCAAGTCTTCGGTCATCTAATAGTGAGCGGTGGAAACGCTACAACGAGCGAGCGCTTCAGAAACTCCACTAGAAAGTCTAAGTCGCTATTGCTCAGGTTTCGCACTCCTATTTCCGATGGGTTAATACCATTTCGAGGGCAGCGTAGAATATTTAACAGCTCCAATCTCATGGTGTTTTGCATTAGCTCCCGTGTTGCTTGCCCACAAACGAGTGCGACCTCATCTGAATTGACTTCCAGTTTCAAAAATATCCGCCACCAATTATTCGCGGGGGCCGAGGGTAAAAAAAAAAACATGAATTTTCAGCATCAAGCCAGAGATCAGAACATTCGCACTCGTTTTGCATGCATTGTAGCCAGAGACCAGGTGTACATGACGACGAGGATGGCTACGGTGAACATTTGACAACTATACTGCAGATATTTTTCCTCGTCAGAAACGAGTGCGACCTGAATCTCTGCACGCCCCCAACAGCTGTTTATCTTCTGTTGCGAATTCTACTCAAAAACCGAAAATCGAAATTCGGTTTCGTGTACACCTTTCTAACCTTTCTACGGTGTCGCTCTCGTTTGCAGACAGCATACTGAAGCCGAAACACAGCGTGAATGCTCAGGATGGTGTTATTGTATTCATAAAAGAGCTTTGATGTGCATTCCATTGGCCTGTAAACGGGTGCGTCAGAAGCATTTTCCAGACAAAAGAACAGTATATCATACTTCGCGAAGTCGTATTCGTTCGTCACGCCGTATTTTCTCAGTCTGCAAGGTGATGCTTCGTCGTCCAGGGTATGAATCTCCTCTGTACCTTGCTCGATGTGTAAATCGGGTCCGAGAGCTCATGGAACCGAGCCTAAGGTCGGGCATAATCACTGCGACATCTGGGTAAATCGAGACTCGATGGACTGTGAAAGGCAATCACTAGACGACTTGATTATCGATGTCCTCCCGAAGTCAGCGATCTTTGGGGTGAACACGTGTTATTCTGACGCGGCGCTTCCGTGATGGGACCACTGCTTGGATACTCTTCACTGTCCATTGTGGAGGCAGTGGCGATCATAGACACTACCTCCAGCGCACTGCTACCAGCAAACACTCCCTGGTGACACCATCGTTCAGGCGATCTACGGGTCATTTCTGGCCAGCTGGTGAGTCGAATGCTGGGACAACGTTTGAATAGGATAACATTCGATTCAACTGCTATCAAAGACGCTTCAATGCAAGGACGTCGGAATCTTTCTGATGAGCGATCAACTTCGTCATGCCAGTGCATATGGATGGCTGGCGAAGATTTCTCACCACCTTTCGCACTAGTACACGTATTCTCCAACACTCCGATCTTGTGCGGTCACAGCTGCTGTCGACAAGAAGATCAAGACAAGATTTGAAACCTGACCCCTTCCCGGTTTTACATATCAGAGGCTCTGAATTCATCTCCCATGGTACGACATGGAGCCGACGTCAGCTTGAATATTGGCAGGAGGAGGCAATTTTGTGCTCCATCATAGTTGTGGACCGCATAAGGTTAAGCGCCGACAATCGCAAGATGCGAAAAGCAATGCATT